GTTTGTTTCTGGAGACCCAGGGAACCTCAAATCACTATCAGGCAGAATACAGCAGAGTGGATGTCGTGCCCTCTGCAGGCTTTCGGACACTGTGCACCTGTTCACTCCAGGTTGTGTGGGTTCCTCCACTGTAGAACAGATGTAAACGCAAAAGATGTAAATGCCCTGCCCAGCCCGCACCCCCATTTAGCAGCTCACTTCTCGTTCCAGCAGCCCTTTCCCTGGCTGGCGGTGAAGCAAGGGCTTAAAGGCCCTGTATCACTGCCGATGTGAGGGTAAGCTGTGTTCTGTCCTTTTTTTTTTTTTTTTTTTTAAATAGCCTGACTGTAACCAGGAATAAACTCTACTTTTCTTGCTGAAGTAGAATTCAGATTGTTGTCCGCTAGAAACATGCAGTAATTTTTCCATCAAAGTGTGGGAGTTGATATGAAGTCTTTGCTCTGGCCGTAAGTGGCTCTTACAAATCATAACAGGTTAAAAGAATGCTTACACTCTGAAAGTACAGAATTGACTTCCTGAAAGAAGAAAAAAGCCGCAAACTTTCTTGTTTGTGTTTGTTATGCACCTCGACTCTCTGCACACGCACACACACACACACACACACCCTGTCATGGTGTGTTTCCCACATGTGAGGACTGTCCTTGCCACCCAGCTGCTGGTTTCCATCAGGGCCCTGAGTCTGGATGTGCGTGTGGGGCGATGTGTGTCCACCTCACACACTGTGCAGAACAATTGTCCTCTGCCTTGGAACATCTTCTGCGGCCCATTCTCTTCCCGCTGGTCCCTGATCTGTTCACGTGTGGCCTTGTCTGTGGCGTCAGAGTGGGGCTCATATCCCATGCAGCCCTTTCTGACTGGCACCTTCCCACTTAGCGATACACATGTAAGGTTCCTCCCAACTTCATGGCTGCCCCTTCCTAATCCTGATGTTCCACAGCACCGTAAGCACTTGTTCACTGAAGGTCTCCTTCCTTGGTTGCTCCAAGTTTTGGCAGTTAATGAAAAAACTGTAATAAATAGCCATGTGCAGTGTTTCGTGTACGTTTAACGTCTCATCTTGCTTGGGTAAATACCAAGGCATGAAATCACTGGATCATAAATATATTTAGTATAAGAAAAGCCAGATGTGGTGGCCAGCACCCGTCATCCCAGCTCTCAGGAGGCTGAGGCAGGATGGCTGTGAGTTTTGAGGTTAGCCTGGGCTACATGGTGAGTTCAAGGCCAATCTAAACTATACAGTGAGACCTTGTCTCAAAAAAAACAACACAAGGAGAGAGCCACAGTGCTTCCCTGGTGATAACTGGTTTTGCATTCTCCAGTATGGCTACTTGTGAAGTGGACCAAATGGAGAGGGAGGCTGTGTGACTCCAAGTGATGGATCCACCTGGGGGCCTGTCCCCATCCACAGTTCTTAACTCCAGAACCTAAGCTCTTACAGCCGAGCCACAGCCACATGAAGCTTCCCGCCATGCCCCCGGCTGTCCCTGTGCTGACCTGCTGTGGAAGGCAGCAGGAGTGGGGTGTGGCTCCCATGTCCAGTAGGGCAGGACTGGGTTGGCTCCAGGACTGACCTGCTGGAGTGTAGAGGTGGGCCCAGGGGAGGTGGCAAAATATCCAAGCCTAAATCCCCAGGATCAAGCACAGGCTGGACTGGAGCATCAGTAGGGGCTCCAGAATGAGTGTAAGGGACTGAGAAATAGGATCCGGGTTCCAGGGTGGGCTGTAGCCAGGGGAAGGCACAGTGTGGGGAGGACAGGCGGATCTCAGGTGGACATTGATCGTGCTTCGACTCCAGGTCAGGTAGTTTGGGATTGTCCCTAAGGGCCTTGGATGTTTGACAGAGTGAAGATGTGGTAGAGGGCAAATATTTGGGAGCAGGGCTGTATGGCGTGTCTCTAGCTTGGCCCGATGTCTCACCTGTGCACCTGCACAAAAGCACCCCAGGGCCCCAGGATACCCCTCTCCTCCCCACATCGGCCGTACTCACATTAAAGCATTCATCATCCCTTAGGTCAGAAGAGAATTCCCTAGGTACCTTTAAAACAAGGAAAAAACCCCCAAACCAGAAAAACACCTTATAAGGAACTGACACCGACAAACTATTGGCAGCTGTTTGTCATTTTTGTTTGATTTATTGATTCATTTATTTGCGGTGTTGTTGTTGAGGCAGGGTTTTAATAGTTGAGTATATTATGGAGTACAGTGTATGGTTTGATCAGCATACACACTGTAAGTTCAGTCAGGCTAATTGGCTTCACACCACCTCACCCGTTTATCCTCTGTTTTGTGGTCACCATGTGATAAGTCGCTCGAGCTTCTTCCTGTAGCTGCTGAGACATGGACACCTCCTCTTTTCCCATGACCCTTCCTCCTGGGTTTTGTTTTGGGCACTGTCTTAGAAGCAGATGCCAACCCATGGGGGCTCGTGCGGATTACCAGAGACAGGGAGAAGCCGTGGCACTGTCGCCAAAACAAAGCCCTCCTGACCCTGAAGAACTAGAGGCCCTTCTGTCCTGCAGAGTTTGTCCGTTGTGTCCCCGAATCTAGTCATGGCTGAAAAGAAGGAAAGAAGAGGCACGTTGGGTCAACCAACAGCGTGGTCCGCGTGGAGCCCGAGCCCGCTGGGCGCGCCTCTCAGGCAGCTCAGGAAGCTGTGCCCTTAACCTTCAGGCCTTCTGTTTCAAAATAACACCCAGTCAAGAGCACAGGAGCAATCCGTAGACTACCTTGGTAATATTTCACATGCATTGCCAGTGTTTCATAAATATGAACATAAACTATTTGTGGGGTCATAAAATGATATCAATGAAAGGCATTGATGGAATTTTGGGGAGCATCTTATTTCTGTGTTCCCAAATATGTCTGTGTTAATATTTGCTGCTGTGCTCTAGGTGTTGGTGCAGGAGCTGGTTAAAATGAAGCTTCATTTCTCGCTGAGGACTTTGTTTTACAGTTTTAGTGTATGTTTGTAATGCTTAGAGATTACATTCAGCTGGGGGAGTTGGAACGTACACACAGCACATCTCCATGTTTACTTCTTCTGTCCCTCCCCTCCCTCCGTCCCTCCCTCCCTCCCTCCTATTTTCCAGATTCCCTTTCCCCCTCTGCTGAGTCTGTCTCCCTCTTCCTTACCCTGGCTCTTTTAGTTTGGCTCTTTAAGTCATTTCATTTTGGGCCTCTCGTATTGGAGAAACATGCAACGCTTAACCTTTTGCAACTGACTTATTTCACTTATTAGTATGGGCTCAAGATCCATCCATTTTTCTAAAATGACTCAAATGTATCATTCTTTATGGTTGAATTGTACTGCCTCATGTACATATACCACACTTTCTTTACCCATTTGTCTGTTGCTAGGCATATGGGTCACTTTCATGACTTTTCTATTGTGAGTCGCATTGCTGTAAACATGAGTGTGTGAGTGTCACTGCCGTACGATGACTTTAGTCTTTCAGGAAGATACCCAGGAGAGGTATAGCTGGGTCCAATGGAATTTCTATTTTAGTTGCTGAGGAGCTGCCATACTGATTTCCATAATGGTTGTAGTAGTGGTCGCATTCCCACCAACAATGTAGAAGGGTTTCCTTTCCCCCATGTCCTTGTACAACTTTTATTGAGAACTTTTTTCTGTCAAAAAAGCAGTACATGTCCTGCATAGGAAATTGAGACAAATAAAATTAAAATACATCATTCTCACACACCACCCCCAACGGTCACATGTGAAGAGAGAGAGCAGAATTTTGGCCTCCTTTCTGAAGTCAAAGTCTCTACTCATTTTAGTAAACACTGATCTCACTGTGTTAGCGACACCCACAAGTTAAAGGAGGAAAGGTCTCTTGTAGCTTTCACTTTGTAGAGGCTTCAGTCTTCGGAGCTGGCTGGCTCCAGGGCCAGGGTGGCATGGAAGAGGGGTTTATGGCCCGGCAAGCAGAAGGCAGCAAGCAGTAGAAGCAGCAGCAGCAGCCTCTCCCCTTTTATCCCATCCAGGCTTCCATCCTTGTGAGTGGTGCCACCAACACCCAGGCTGGGCTTCCATCGCCCACTCCCTGAATCCCAGCATCACATTCTGTATATCCACATTCACACACCCCGATCCAGCCGAAACTCCTCACCTATGGCCACATAAGGCTTTGGAGGAACAGCCAGATGCAAGCCACACAGAATCCTAAATCACACTCAGATTTTCCCAGGAAGGCTCACAGGAGTCTTTTTATTAGTTGCCCTAATGAATATCCAGTGTAGGATCAGGGCAGGCACCTGTGCCTGTTAAATACCTTAGATCTTCTTTTTTCACAGTACGGGGGACTGGGCCTAGGGGAGCTCTACCACTAAGCTATATCCGCCCTACCCTTTGTCAATTTTATTTTTATTTCTCATCAGTGTCGCAACTTTTTTATGCTTCAAGCAGGCTGTGTTTCTCTCACCTTCCCCCATCAGATTTGGAACACTTCCTCTCCCCCAGAATTTGCCTCGTCATCCTGGGACCAAGCCTAGGCCTTCTCCAGGGACCCGGTCCCTGTGGGGACCTCCTGAGATAAGGCCCATTATCACCACACAGCATGTTCTCTCAGGACTGTATTCCCCTCATGCCTTACTTCCTACAAAGTGGAAGTTACCTCTAATACTAATACTTGATGGATTCTAGTTAAAAACCACAGTTGTGCTGTGTGATCCCAACACTTCAACAGAAAATATGCTGTCTGGTCAATCTATCCTTACTGATGTTACTTATGTGTAAAATAATTTTTTTGATATTTGAGTTTGTTAACTTCCCTTTCACAGAGAACAGAAAAGTGCAGCAGTACCTTTGAACCTGAATTCTACATTTTGGAAGAGGCAGACATTGCCTGATTTTGAAGATGTGCAGATATCCATAAGACCCTCACTACCATGGCCTGGAGTTATCTGATGTTAGCAAGAGTATTGGTGATGTTTTTTAAAATGCTTGAGTTTTGGGAACTGTACTCACTTTTCCTCCCTCCCACCCGCTTTGTTAACAGTTGGACAGAGGGAGCCTGAAGATGTGAATAAGAAAGACTTGGATAAAGACGTGGCGGCTAACTCTGTGGTTGTTGAGGACGTCGCGAAGGATAAGCAGGAGGACATGCCTGAAATAATCGAACAGAGTCCCTCTTCAGAAAGCAATTTAGAAAAGGTAACAGAGCCCCCCGAGGCCCAGGCTAGTGATGGAGAACCCAACATGGAGACCGGAGAGGCAGCAGCCAAAGAAACTGAACGAAAACAATCCATCGAGAGGGTGGAAGACATCCTTAAGCACCAGCAGAGCAACACAGAAATTCCTTTCTCAGCGGAGTCTGGTCAAACAGTAGCGGAAGGCAAAGATGAAGGAGAAGCAATGCGCGAAAAAGAACCTACCAAGTCTCCAGAATCTCCCACCAGCCCAGTCACCAGTGAGACTACATCGACCTTCAAGAAATTCTTCACCCAAGGTTGGGCTGGTTGGCGCAAAAAGACCAGTTTCAGGAAGCCAAAGGAGGATGAACTGGAAGCTTCTGAGAAGAAAAAGGAAGAAGAACCAGCAAAGGCAGACACAGAGGAAACCAAGAAGGCAGAAGATACCCCCGAGCAGCTCACAGCTTCTGAGCACCCCCAGAAACCCGTGGAAGGTGAGGACGAGGCCAGATTATCGGCTGACTATGAGAAGGTGGAGTTGCCTTTGGAAGATCAAGTCGGTGGTGTGCAGGGCTCTTCTGCAGAGAAATGTGCTCCGTTGGCCACGGAAGTATTTGATGAAAAAGTAGAAGCCCACCAGGAAGTTGTTGCTGAAGTCCATGTCAGCAGTGTGGAAAAGAAAGCAGAGGAGCAAGAAGCAGGTGTGAGAGAAACAGCAGAATCCTTACCAGCTGAAAAGCTGGTGGAAGCCCAGGAAGCCGAACTCGCAGAGGAGCTGGAACAGACCCAAGAAGTGTGTGCCTCTGGAGGAGACCACACCTGGCCTACAGAGCTGAGTCCCGATGGAAAGGTGTTGCCCAAACAGCCCGAGAGCAGCATGAGTGAGGTGGCCGTGCTGTCCTCACAAGAGAGAACCAAAGCTCAGGGAAGCCCCTTGAAGAAGCTGTTCTCCAGCACTGGCTTAAAGAAGCTTTCTGGAAAGAAACAGAAGGGGAGACGAGGAGGAGGAGGAGGAGGAGGAGGAGATGAAGAGTCAGGGGAAAACAACCAAGGTGCAGCAGAGTCTCCGGAGAGTGCGGACGAGAAGGGCGAGAGCTCCGCTTCCTCCCCAGAAGAACCCGAGGAGATCACATGCCTGGAGAAGGGGATCACAGAGGGACACCCTGAAGGCGAGGCTGAAGAAGGAGCTACTTCCGATGGAGAGAAAAAGAGAGAAGGTGTTACTCCCTGGGCATCTTTCAAGAAGATGGTGACGCCCAAGAAGCGTGTTCGAAGGCCTTCTGAAAGCGATAAAGAAGACGAGTTGGACAAGCCGGACAAGGTCAAGAGCGCCACCTTGTCTTCCACGGAGAGTGCGGCTTCTGAAATTCAAGATGAAATCAAAGGCGCCGGGGAGGAGCAAAAGCCAGAAGAGCCAAAGCGCAAGGTGGACACGTCGGTGTCTTGGGAGGTGTTGATCTGTGTGGGGTCATCCAAGAAGAGAGCAAGGAAAGCATCCTCTTCTGATGAGGAGGGAGGACCGAAAACGACGGGAGGAGATGGCCACAAAGCAGAGGAGGCTGCCAAAGACAAAGAAACCGGAACCGACTCTGCCCTTGCTGGCACCCAGGAACCTGACCAAGGGCAGGGAAGCCCCTCCCCTGAGCCAGCGGGCAGCCCCTCCGAAGGGGAGGGCGTTTCCACGTGGGAGTCATTTAAAAGATTAGTGACCCCAAGAAAAAAATCCAAGTCAAAACAGGAAGAGAAAAACGAAGAGTCCACTGGTGTAGAGCATTCAGCTTCCGATGTTGAACCTGGGAAAGAGGAATCTTGGGTTTCAATTAAGAAATTTATTCCTGGACGGAGGAAGAAAAGGTCAGATGGGAAACCAGAACAAGCCACTGTGGGAGACACAGGGCCCGCAGAAATCAATGAAGAGGATTCTGATGTCCCGGCTGTAGTGCCTCTGTCTGAGTATGATGCCCTGGAAAGGGAGAAGATGGAAGCTCAGCAAGCCCCCCAGAGCGAAGCCGCGCCTGAGCCACAGATGGGCATGTCCGAGGAGCTCGGCGGGAATCTGGTTTCCTGTGCAGCAGTGGCTGTCACGGATGGGACAAGGGCAGTCACCAGTGTGGAAGAGCGGTCTCCTTCTTGGATATCTGCCTCTGTGGCAGAGCCTCTTGAACAAGCGCAAGATGGAGCCACACCATCAACCAGGGAGGGGACTGAAGGAGAAGCCACTGCAGAAGAAACCCCCACAGCCACCCAGACTCTGCCTGAGAGCGGAGATGCCCCCGATGACACGAACACTAGTGAAGTGGCATTAACTTCCGAGGCGGTGACAGCTGCACAGACCACGGAGGTGCTCTGTGCTGAAGAAGCCACCGAAGCATCGGCCGCAGAGGAGACCACAGAGATGGTGTCGGCAGTTTCCCAGCTCAGTGACTCCCCGGACACCACGGAGGAGGCTACCCCAGTCCAGGAGGTGGAAAGCGGAGGGCCAGACGCAGAGGAGCAGGAGCGGCAGACTCAGGCCGTCTTACAGGCAGTTGCAGAAAAAGTGAAAGAGAAGTCACAGCTGCCAGACGGCAGCGGGGCCGAAGGTACGACTCTGACCATGCAGCGAGCAGAACCAAAAGGCCTAGAGAGGGTGGAGGAAGCGGAAGAAGACTCCGAAGAGCCAGAGACGAAGGAAGAGATGGATGTAGTTTCGAGAGTAAACGTACAAGAAACTAAAACTGAACATTTTACACGAGGGGAGGTAATAGCTCAGGGTGCCCCTGAAGGTTTTGAGAAAGTTCAGCTTGCAGCGAGCACAGAATCCAGGGAGCCGGTAACCCCGTGCCCGCCTGAGCCCTTAGCTGCGGTGCAGCCCCCGGAGCAGGCTGTTCTCCCAGACTCAGCAGATGCCCTGACGGACAGCGAGACAGCGGAAGCGGCAGATACTGACGCGCTAGGTACAATACAGCAAGATGAGGCCACGGAAGGGCAAGAAGAGCGTGCAGGGTCACCTGGCACTCAGCCGCAGGTCAGGGAGGCAGCCGCAACACCTGCCCAGAAAGAAGGGCCTTCAGCATCACCAAGCTGTCAATCCCAGGAAGAGTATAAAGAACAGCTAAAACCGGAAGACGTTCTAGAACATAAAGATCAAGAACCACCAGTGGAAGCCGTAGCCGTAATGTCCAAGACTGAGGTGATCTGCCAGCTTGCCGGTGGGGAAGCCGAAGACAGACCGTGTGTTGCAGTTGTCACATCTGCATACGTGGCTGGTCGGGAAAAGGCCACCGAAGTTCCTCTTCCAGGTGAACTGACCGAAAGGGCAGAATGTCAGAAGGACGGTAACACAGAACTCCAGAGTCCCGGCGGAGAAGAGAGAGACAGGGTAGCTCAAGCAGAAAAAGGGAAAACTGATGCAAAGACAGTACAAGACAGTGAAGAAAAAGTCGAGCAAAAATCAGCTGCACCCAGAGCCGAAAAACTCAGCCAGCAACTAGTCCAGACGGCTGACGTGCCCATCCCAGACATGGAAAAGGACGTAAGTGATTTAGAAGGAAGCTCTCCTCTTCCTCCAGATCCAGAAGAGGAAGCAGGACGCATGGAGACTCAAGGTCAGAGCTGTGAGGCACCAGTGACTGTCACACCTGTGGCAGCAGAGGAGGAGGTGTTCGGAGAAACTGGCAGAATTTCAGAAACAAGTGACACCGAGGGGCCTGCAGATGCACATTTAGAAGCAGCAGAGAGGTCTCCTGGGAAGGACGGGGACTGGACTCCTCAGCCGGGAGACGATGCTGTTCCTGTGGGGGCTGAGCCAGGTACGGTGTCTGCCACCCCTGAGCAAGAGCTGTACTCAGACCTGCAGGCAGAGAACAGGGCATCTCAGAAGCAGATAGCAGACGAAGATGGCAAGGAGGTCGGCTGTCAGGAAGGCACAGTGAGCCTGGCAGCAGAGGGCAGTCCCAAAGCTGAAAATCAGATCTTGGAATTTGAGACTGAGAGCAGTAAGCTTGTGCAAAACATAATCCAGACAGCCATGGACCAGTTCTCCCGGCCCAAGCAAGCAGAGTCTGACATAGAGATGGAGGCTCCCTCATCGCCAGGCTACAGCCAGGGAGCTGGACAGAAACCTGTGGGAGAAGTCAGTGGACGGCAGGCTTCTGTGCAGGATGAAACACAAACTGTCACCACCGGGGCCGAGTCCGAGCTCGCTGCCACGGCAACCATGCTTTCTTACATTTCCAAAGATGTGAACGGAGCTTCAGAAGAGACCCTGACAGTTGAGCTTGGAAGTTATGGTGTGAATGAGCAGCGGTGTGGAGAGGTGGTTCCCCCAGCCGAGGCAGAGAGCGATGCAATGGGTGCAAAGCCCCCAGCGCCTGACGGCTGTGCTGAGTCAGGAGGAATAATAGACAAGCCACGCCTCCAACCGAGAGGAGACGAGAGAGAGGATGCTGCCCAGGACCCAGACTCAGCCCTGGCAGATGCTGCCGCCCCAGGAGGCTTAACCAAAGAGTCCCCAGACACCAACGGACCAAAACTGACAGAGGAGGAAGCAGGAGCTAAGGGAGGAAAGGCGCACGGGAAGTCGGAGGACATCAAACCCCAAACAGAAGAGGAACAGGGGAAAGGAGGGACAGAGCTCGCAGAATCCTAAGGCTGTGTGTAAGTAACCTTCCTTTTCTTCTGAGATTGTTTCCCCCTCTTTTATGCCATGAGACAGCAAATTGGTTGTAAAGGAATCTCAGGAGTTCAGATATATGGTTTTTGGATAACCTTCAGTTGGGGAAATAACGATCAGCTAAAAAAAGATCTAGAGCAGTTTCATTTTTTCCCTTTATTGAATATCACTTTAAAAAACCAATAACAATTAGCAGCCAGAAGTAGGTTTATATCAGAAATGTGGTTTATAGTACTTTGGAGGGGCGGAGTTTTTCCAGAATATTAACAAATAATATTAAAATTTTTTTCCAGTTCATGAGTCTGGCAGAAAGTATTACTGCAGTTACTGGTTTTGTGGTAGCATGGTATAAAATCACTTGGGCCCTCATTTTTTTCTTTTTAATTTTTAACACCATTTTTTTTCCCCTGGCACCTGGGGATCAAACTCAGGACCTTGCACCTGTGAGGCAAGTGTGGTACCACTGAGCTAAATTCCCAGCCCCTATTTTTAACGTTTTCAAGTTAAATGGTTTGTGTTTGTGGAGACGGTGTTTCTCTGTGTAGTTCATACTGGTCTCGAGCTCATTGCAGTCTTCCTGCCTCCCAAGTGCTGGGATTATAGGCGTGCATCACTGTGCCTGGCCACTTTCTCTTTTTGCTTTGTTTTCTTGGTGCTGGTGATCAAACTCAGGACCTTGTGCTTGCAAGGCAGGTGCAGTGCCACTGAGCTAAGTCCCCAGCCTGGCCACTTTCTCTCTCTCTCTCTCTTTTTTTTTTTGGTATCGGGGATCAAACTCGGGTCCTTGCGCTTGCAAGGCAGGCCACCGAACCGCTGAGCTAAATCCCTGGCCCCAACACTTTCTCTTTTTAATGGACTTAAAATCTTGTGTTAATAGGATTACTGGTTAGCCACAGTTCACTTACACAGCTATTCTGTTGTTAATGAATGATAAAGAAAAAGATTTTATTGATTCTGCTTCTTCCTTCTACAGTTAGTGTCCTTGTATATTTGCAAGACTAGAATGTGAAGAAGACAAGTCATGGAGGAAAATGCTGCTGCTGAGACTCGAAACCAATATTTCAGAACTTGAGAACTAGAGAGCGGCCCCCCCTACTGATCTCACGTCCAGAGCACCCCCAACAATCCTAAGGCTTCATTGGGAACTAGAGCCATCTAACACTGCCTTTTTTTCAAGACCATCTATTTTCCCTTGATATCATATGATAGTTCTGAATCGAGGTCCTAAATTCTTGACCTGAAACTGGAGTTGGCAATACCTGGTTCTACTTCTCAAACTGGAGTGTTGCTTTTCATGTATTTATGTTCTGAGTATTCCTCCTTCTGTATCTGTTGTATATTTTTTCTCGGTGTTTGAAGACATGTATGGCATAGTGTGTGCCTTTCATATCATACAGTATGTGACAGGGTGTGCAGCTATAGGGAGGCCTTGGGAAGTTTAAAGCCTCACTTACACCCATGAAAAACAGCTTCCAAGAAATAACATCCCTGGTGAGAAGGTACAATTCTTATTCAACAAATTCATCACCGCTTAGGTCCGTGCTTAGTGTAGTACTCAGAAACTGGTCACTTTCCTATTATGCACAGTGAGCTAAAAATAAAAAGCATTTTGAAACACATAGAATGTTCCAGTTACTGTGAAATTTTTCTTTCTAGTCCAGCAAGTTGGAAGGAAGTTTTTTTCACTAACAGATAATAGTCTCGTTAGTCTTTTCTTCTAATTGATTTTGTTATGGTGGTTTGGACAGATGAGTGTGCTTAATACCGAGGCAATGTAGTGAAATGTTTTTCATGTTATATAGAAAATAATTGACTGTTGTAAGTTTTTGACTCTGCTCTTATATGCTGGACCGCATTCACCCACAGAATGAAACGAGACAAGTTTTCTGCTTTCCAAATGGTATTTTGATAGATACTGGATTGTGTCCGCATCGTATTTGTGCCCCTTTTAAGAACAATGTTGCATTATGTTCACTTGGATAAACTGTGATTTAACAACTGATTTAAATAAAATACTGGCTATACTTGCTTTCACTTAGGTTTGCTGGTTTTATTAGGCACTAGGAAGTGAAGACTTACTATTATCTCATCAGAGTAAGATAACAATGGACCAGGACAGCCAAGATGGAGCGTCCCTGATGTAAACATGACATGAACTAACCAAGAGCTGAGTACTTTATGCTGGTTTGAGTTGGATTTTCAGTTCAGAGGAAGCCATTGCAGAGATGCATTTTCCTTCCTTCTTTCCTTCCCTCCCTCCCCTCTCTTGCTCCCCTCCCTCCCTCCCTTCCTTCCTTGGGACCAGTGATCAAACTTGGGACCTCGCGTTTGCAAGGCAGGCGGTGCCATCATTGAGCCTAATCCCTGGCCCGGAGGTGCATTTTGTAAAGTGAGCTACTAGCTTTTCAGACACGTTGGGTACACTTCTACATGTGGTAATTCCTGAAAAAGTCAATTTATTTCTGGTTTTCAGTTAATGTTTCTAGAGAGAAAGTTTTTAAGAAGGCTTAATGATAGTAAGCATTCTTTGCCTAAATAGCACGATCTTGGAAAAAACTTTTTAAATGTCCATGTGTTGAATCATGCTCATACATAAAGAGTTTTGTCACACAATTGTTTTTCAAAGAATAGGCTGTCGCTTGCGTTCTGTAGAACGCAGTAGTAGTGATCTCACAGAGAACTGGGCTGGCGAAGCTGATGTTTGACTTCACCTCAGTACTCCAGTTTGAGAAGCTAAAATGTGACTGCCAATTAATGACCTTTAAAAGCATAATATCCTAGAAAGCCTACTTTTAGTGGCAAGAAATTTTGCCACTAAAGTTGGGAGTAATCTCTCTTATGTGAACAAACCTGACTGCATAAGTAATTGGCTATGCTAGTTGACTACCTCATGGTAGCAGTGAGTGGTCTCCTAGCCAGAAAACTGAATTTAATATCCTTTTAGTAGTTCTTTTCAAATGTGCCTGACAGCCACCTTGGGTAATTACTAAGTGTTAAAACACCCAGATTTCCCCAGGTAATGCCAGCTACGCCAGAGACTGAGGAGGGACGATTGCAAACTAGAGGTCAACCTGTGCATCTCAAAAGAAAAGTAAAAAGGGCTGGCAGAGGACTCCTGGGTTCAATCTCCATGGCTGTTTTCAAAAAGTTACGTGATTTAGGCTTTGGTCTGTACGCAACTAAGACTTACAAAGAAACCCAAGTCCGGGAGTCAGTTTCTGAAGATCAGTGAGGAGGATTGGAGATTTGTGTTTGTACCAACTACCTCCCTGACAGGAAAAACCCGCTGCGTTGAACAGATGAAACGAGCGGCTGTCCCTTGTTGCCACACACAGGCAAGGACTGGCCATCACGGTAGGCTTTCCAGTGGTAGCTGCTTCATGAATATGCTCTTTCTATGATACCTGATGTGCCCTGGATCGCTTCTGTACAAGCTAGGTCTGTTCAGTCACATTGTTTTATTAACAAGAGGAACCCCCAACAGTGGCCTGAAATGTAATTCTGTTTTGTAATTCTAAAGCTGCTGTTAATTTATGAGCATAATCAAACTGCAGACGTTGGAGCAAGTGCCTCAATTTTGCAATTTTTGGCATTACTGTAGAACCCTGTACAATAGAAGCGATGCTGCCGGACTTGTAAACTCTTTGCTACTTCTTGTACTTGAGGAATACAAATGTTCTCCCTCAGGTTATTTTGCTTACTGGTACCCATGAGTTGCCTCTCTCTGTACATAGATCCTTTGTTCTAATATTTCCCTTTGATGTTTGGAACTACAGGTAGTCAGGGGCTGGAAATTTTAGCTTAGCAGTTACCTCTACTCCAAGACAACATTTGATTCCTACTTCTGTTTGGGGCCAATTTTCATTAAATAAAAAACAATGTATTTAAATGCCATGAGTTTTTTCTCTAATTTCACCTTGATTCGGTCTGTATCGCTCCTCTTTGCTGTCATGACATTCATCACATTTTAACTTCTCAGTCTTGGTCACACCTTGGTGATATTGTCCAGAAAGTATCATGGGGAAATGGAAATGAACGTTATCTGGGATACGTGTGAGCACACAAAGTCTCTGTCGGTGACTCTTAACCTTTTGGAGCCTGGCCCATTCAGTTAGAATCTCAGTAAGCTTCTGGCTGACCACACAGACACAGTTTGATGTAGTTTTTGGATTGCTCAGCCAAAAGAACAAAAGCCAGTGTGGCAGAAATCCAAATCCACGCGACTCTTCGCTCTAACTGGGTTCTGGAAATGGGTCTGGTGAGCCCAGCATGCCACACAATTCTCATACACAGGCCAATTTCTCCTCACCACACTGACCCCAGCGTGTCACTGGAGTCAGGGAAGGATCCCAGTCCTAATCTCTTGGGTATCTCAGTTTGACAGGTACCTTTACCATCACAAGCTACAGTGAGGAGTGTCATTCTCTCCTTCCTTTATTCCTTCATGACTTACAACACTACAAGTGTGGAGATGGGCACAGTGGCAGATGTTTATAATCCCAGCACTCTGGAGAATGAGGCAGCACAATCACTGCAAGCTTGAGCTCCACCCAGGCAAAGATCTTGTCTATAAATAAATAAATAGGCAGGGGATGTAACTCATTGCAGAAGCCCTGGGTTCAATTCCCAGTACCCCCAAAATAAGTGTGAGCAGGACAGGGGTGTGGGGTTTTTACAGGTAATCTTTTCAGGGCTTCTCCACAACTCTCCTGTTTGGAGATGAGAGGTGGAGGAACATGTCCTAAATAACAAAGTGTGGCCACAGTAAGTTCTTTTCCCACACAGGGTACTGAGGAATAAAGCCTTACACTAACACTCTTAACCCTATGCTTTTCTATTCTAAAAAATCCCAAGTAACTTGGTAGAATTAGTGAACACAAAAGCAGCACTATAGATCAGGCTAATTAAAAAACCATATTGTGAGATGGGTATGGTGATGCACACCTGTAATCCATGGGAGGCTGAGGCAGGAGGGTTGAAATTCCAGTCCAACCCAGGCAATTTGGTGGTTGAGACTGTCTCAAAATTAAAACAATGGCCAGAGAGGTAGCTCATTGTGAAGGCTGGGATTCAATTCCCAGTACTGCAAAACAAGACCATTTCGTGCTTGATTCTACCTGCTGCCCCAGCAGTTTACCTGGAAGAGCAGATGGGCTTGCCTTCAACACTGGAAACCTGACCTGTGAAACTGGGGCTCTTCTTAAGATTTTCTCAGAACAATACCGCAGAGGTGGCCAGGGTGTCCCAAGAGGTAGGGCTTCTCATAGAAGGGAGGTGTGCTCCTGCCTTCCCAGTTCTTAGGCATGTTGGGCTGTGGTCCCAGCTCATGATATACCAGTAAGCTCTAGCCACTGTGACAGCCAAAACATGGGCAGGGCACACAGGAGCACCGTGGGGGCACTGTCGTATCCTGCCAGAACAGCCCTACATGAGGAGGAGTTTCTGAAATGCCGGTGGTATCTTAACTTGCAGGGAAGTGCAGTCGAGGATGGGAGGATCCCGTGTAACCTGCTGTTAGTTAATCCAGTCAAGAGCTGGCAAGGACAGTGCCGGGGAGGCTTGGCGGAGGAGCCCTAGGGGAGATTGAGAGCTCTTAGGGACAGAATCAAGAGTGCACGATACCTGATTGTCTGTCCCGGGAACGGTGTAGGGTGAATGATTTTCACGAACCCGGACATGGAAGTCACTTGCTGACATGGGGTTGGGGGGAGTTGATTGATGTTCGGTTTCTTTCCGGTACTGGGAATTGACCCAGGACCTGTGCATTGACCTATATACCCCCAGCTCTTTTAAATTTTTTATTTTGAGACAGGTTTTTTTCCCCCCAGATTGCTAAATTAAATTAATTGCCCAGCTGGGCTCCAGTGCGTCCCATCTCAGCCTCCCAGGGCTCTGGGGTGACAGGTTTGCCAATTTGAGATGCCTGTGAAGTGTCCAAAGAGAAGCACTGATTTGTCATTGAAATATATAGGTCTCATAAAGGAGACTACGAGGCGAAGATATTGTTGCCCTCACACTATCCATGAGACTCATTAGGTGAAAATAGTGGACTACACAGATCCTTGTGACATTTCCTAAAATCTCATGCACAAATGTTGGTCCATGACAGAGAAAGACAAGGACTGAGGGCGCAGTCATCCTGTCTCGGTTGAGTCCTCTTCTGAAAGTATAAATAATTTCTGAGATTTTCCTGCTATTGGGTGCTTAGCAATTTGCAATGGCTGATGAGCTGCAGCTGTCCCCTTGAGTATTTTGGTAGGTTCCAAATAGTAGTTCTGATCTTCCTTAAAACTGAGTGCTATCCTTGGCACTCAGACATGTGCTTACTTCAGGGAGAGGCATCCACCTGGTGTGGCACCCAAGTTTCTCTTTCCTCCTTGCCCTTTTGTCTCTCAGCTGGCACAGCTCCAAGGAAGAGGCCCAGTGCTTGGAGGGCTTTCCCCAGTCCTTCCTGAGGTCCCAGCTCTCATTATTCAGGCTCCGGATTCTCTCTGGCTGGCTGCCTTCCAAACTTTGTCTGGTTTGGCGTAACTCTAACTGACAGGAGAAAGGAATAAAAACATTACAGAAAATAATATATTTAAAGGCTAGGATTTCCTAAGCAATGTAATGGTTCAGAAGAGTTCTTGGGAGATCTGTACTCTGCAGAAGTTGTATGATTGATAGGTTGATTGATTGATTGATTTGAATCCTCAGGAGCTTCATCTGCACCCTGTTTTTTAATTTTGATTTCATTTTGAGATAGAGTCTTGCTAAGTTACTACATTGCCCAGGCTGGGCTTGAATTTGTGGTTCTCCTGCGTCGGTCTCCCAGGGTGCTGGGATTACAGACCGGGCAAAAAAGCTAGATGACTTTAGCTAATAAATTAGTGCAGCTTTGTTTCCTCAGCCAGATCCGGGCAGACGATGGTACAGGGGGCCTCTGAAAATGACGTAGGGTATTTGGTTCATTTTTTTGTTCTTGTTCTAAATTCTTATTCTGTGCTTACAGATTACAAGGAAATGTAAAATGAGGCCAGGGGCAGTTAGAATAGATCCCAGAGCCTCTCAACCACGTACTTCTAAAGTCTCATGCACAGATGTGTAGTGTACACTGCGCACCTTGCTGCAAAGGAAGAAGTATGCTAGGAACGACACCGACCCCTTCCTGCCCCTTGGTCAGCTCTTCTGGGTTTTATCATTCAGAGCCACCAGAAGAACCAGACAAGTGCAGTAAAGTTACGGCAGAAATGACACAGTGATGCCACGGTTCCTGAAGCAGGGTCCCCGGCACCAGCCCCATCCAGGAGGGAACCTGTTAGAAATTCTTGGGCCTGATCCCATCTCACTGAATTAGACCTTCTAGGGGCAGAGCTGGTAGTTTGTTGATCAAACCTCCAGGAGATGCTGGGGCATGTACATTTGAAGGCAACCACGGTACATAAGGATATAAAATGGCTTTCAGTCAAGTGCCTTAATAGCAGAATGAAGAGGTTAACAGATGGAAATGTTTTCCCTTCCCCTTTCTTCCAGTTATGTCTAGCTCAGAAATACTTGCATATTCAATAAAATAACATTGTACCTTTTTAATTTGGACAAATTTAGGTGTAAAGCCACACACACACACACACACACACACACACACACACACACACACACATATAGCCCAGATGCCTTCTACTCCCTTTTATTTTGGTACCGGGGATCAAACTTGGGACCTTGCGCTTTCGAGACTGGCAGTGGAACCATTGAACTAAATCCCTGGCTCTACTACTTGATTCTTGCTTTCCTTTTTTCTTAAATGTAGGTTTGTTATGCTGGGTATGGTGGCACATGCCTATAATTTCAGCTACTCAGGGGGCTGAGGCAGGAGGATCCCAAGTTGGAGGCCAGCCTATCCAACTTGGTGAGACCCAGGTCAAAATAAAATAAAAAGGTCTGGAGATGTAGCTGAGTGGCAGAACACTTGGCTAGTAATGCATGAGGCCCTGAGTTCAATCCCCAGTCCAAACCAGCAACGAAAATAGCAATTACCTAGTGCTGGTCAAACTTGAGATGTTAGGTGGTGGGTAGGTAGAATACTGTTTTTTGAGTAAGTCACATGGGGTTTGAACCCTGGCTGTCTCTGGTAGAGTAACCTCAGAAAAGTTATTTAACACTTCTGGGCCTCAGGTTTTCATCTAAAAAATGGGAGACTGTCTCAGAATTAGGAGTTGTAGATGCACACACCTGGTATGCGACACCCTGTCCACCCAGCAGGCTCGACCCCTTTCAGACTTCTGGTTGACAAAGCATCTTCTCTATGACCAGATAATTTTGGCATGACAGTTACTTATTACCCATTTTCCAGCGAGTAACACAAGCTTGATTCACGAATTTAACAAGTTCTTCATGCTCACAAATATTGTGATCTGCCAGAAGAGAATGAAACTAAAGAACATCATTTTGTCCTGGTCTATTTTTTCACAGTAAAAATTAAGAATTTTTATCTGAGGGAGCAGCTAACAGTTAATATCCTCACAGTTCTGTTTAAGGAGTCCTTCTGTAAGAAAGTACAGATTACTCGCTCTGTATCGAGACACGACTTTCTACTTGCCTAATAGTGTTGAAGCCTAAGTTTGCTTCCCTGCAAATGTATAGCAATTATTTGTCCTAGACCAAAATGGAGGACTAAAACCAAGCTAAATGCAATTTAAACATTAGTAGGGGCCTGAAAATTGCCATAAAGAAGAAGATGTCAAGTGGAGCAAGTTCTGTTCCATTGCAATCAACCACAAAACCCGTGTGAAATGTTGCCTGAGGTCACAGCGAGTGAGTAGTGTAGGGGCCTCAGCTCCCTCCCATCACGAGCCCCAGCTGGAGCCAGGAACCCCCCCCATCCTTCCCAAACATCCTCCCCTGGGTTCACGTCCACTCAAATGTAGTAATGTGCAGTATTTTCTCCTGAATCACATGGCAGAGGCCTAACATTTTGAACCAAAGGGTTCATTTTGGATGCCTCAGCTCTTTGCCTTTCTTGCAAAGTGACATTTTGAAAGCTACACTGGCTTGTAACTACGTGAAGGTTCGGCATCACTATTCTCCCTGCTTGCACCGCCACTACTCACTGCTACTTTTGAACAGCAATGCCCTCTCACACTAAAGTGTATTTCCCATGGTGAAACCCTACCACACTTCACAAAAGCTATTTTTTTTTAAGCAATATATTTTATTTTTTGGTATCGGGGATTGAATTCGGGCCCTTGAGCTTGCAAGGCAGGCAGCAGAACCTCTGAGCTAAATCCCCAGCCCTAGCAATGCATTTTAAATGAGTCATTTTCTTTTTTCTTTCTTGACAGTCTTGCTATGTAGTTCAGGCAGGCTGGCCTTGGTCGCACAGCAATCCTCCTGCCTTAGTCTCCCGAGTGGTGGGATTATGGGTGTGTACCACCACGCTTGGCCTGACTCTACTGAGGAGGGAAAACTACTAGTGGTGTTAATAAGGGCTAGAACTAGACTATCTCAGGTTCCCACATGTGACATTGAGACGGCTTGTAGTAATGGCGAAACTGGGTGTTCAATGGTAGCAGCTGGTGGTGGCCGAGTGCCGTGGGTTTGCTTTCACCAGCTTAGTCATCCCTGAGATTTCTAAAGCTTCTCTAGGGATCATCAAAAACTATATAATCTCTAGGGTCTGGAACAGGCAGTGAGCATTTGGGGGAAGGGTGGGAGGGCTTCAGTATTTGTACCCAGCTCTTCTCATCACTGTGAGCAATGGGAGTTTGGCCGGTCAGCCTCTGTGGATGTGGCCACAAGCTGGCGCTAAAGGCCCTGCTATTTAGATGCCAGACCTGAACGGCGGGGCAAATCTGTATCTACCCTTCCCTTCGGTCAACTGGGACTGGCTGGCTGGTGTCTTGTGCTCTCCTTTGGGCTTCCCAGGACTTTCTGGTCTTGAAGACTCTGCTCTGGCTGCATCTTGCTTGCAGGGTGGAGGCCTCAGAGGCTCACCCTGACTTATTTACCTTTCAAAGATACACAAATGCGGCATAAAACTCTTTCAGGTTGGACGATGGGAATATAGTTTTCTTTTTTAAGATGAAATAAATGCAACTCATTCCATTTAATAATCTAGGTTTGTGTTACCTTGAGGGAAGCACCTCCTGACCTCTTTTCTTCTTTGTAAAGAAAGCTGGGTAAGATGATCTCTCGATTCATTTTGAGCCAACCTTTGACTGTTCCTCTCCTTGTCAGAGTTCACTCATTTGATTCTCATGATTTCACAATCGAAGGCAGTCAACTTCTTCAGTTCACACATGCAGAAAATGCCACCCTGGAAGGGAATCGTCCAGGAAGGCATTTCCAGTAAGACAGCCTCTCTTTGGGTAGATGAACACACAAGAGATAAAATCATATGCTCATTTAATTGTTTATTCAATGAAAGCATGTATAAAAACTTACAAATCTGAGAACTCAACTATACATATAATAGGATGATGGGATATTCAGTTCTTAACATACACATACAGTATAGCTATTAACTACTCTCCCCCTCCCTTTCCCCTTCGGTCCTTACTTCTGGCTATTTTATCCTGTAAGACCATTCTCTTATTGGCCTAAGAGAATATTAATGGGCAACGTTTGCTGCTTTCAGGCCACTAGAGAAAATTTCAGGATGTAAAAAAATAAAATAAAATAAAGAAAAAAACCTGGAGAATACAGTCTTTCCCCAAATAGCAATTAGGTTTTTTATTTTTTAGGTAGGTGGGAATCAAACCCAGGGCCTTGTGCATGCCAGGCAAGAACTCTACCACTGAGTTTCATCCCCAACCCTAGCAATTAGTTTTTGGTCCTGATTTCTCTTTGCCATTTTTGATGCTTCAGTGAATATTGCCAGTAAACTGTTAGCACTGACTTTTTTTTGGCGGGGGGTACCAGGGATTGAACTCAGACCTTGCGCTTGCAAGGCAGGCAGTGGAACCACTGAACTAAATCCCTGGCCCCAGCATTGACTTTTAAAGTCATTAAAGTTACATCTTCTGCCAACTTTCCATGTAAGATGCATATTCCTGTATAATTTCCTCTCCAGTACATAAGTACACTGATTTAAAAGCAGCGGGTTGGTACTGAAACAAATTTGCCACTGGCAACTGCTAGAAAATGTGTCATTTCTCTTTTGAATGATTTTAAAAACAACCACATTTGTCAGAAATGAAAATACAGCATTTTGCTGTTGTTCAACTTGGAAAGAAGCCAGCAAATCGATAAGGCATGTGCATTAATCCACCTGTTTATAGGAAGTATCCACACGTTTTCTCTTACAAACACACACTCACAGCTTGTCAGGTTTTATCCAGAAATTAAGATTGCCATCACATTATTACTTTTTCTTTTGTGTTTTGTTGAAGTAGATTTCTTAGCTAGTGATTTTTCCTCACTGGACATAATCTCAAAGGATGTGTTCTGAAATAAGACACCCGGAAGGTAAAATACTAAAAACGTTTTCTTGGGTTTAAAGTTTCCCCACACCTGCTAGATTTTGCATAGTACAGAGCCCAGAATTATCTCTTGGACACGTGTTGTACTTTCTGACATTGCTTTTTCCTGAAAAGGAAGACTTATCACCTGGGGAAAAAATCATACTTTTAGCTTACCAAATTATATCTTAGTTGTTCTGTTTTGTATATACCCTTAATTAGTTCCAAGTATGCTTTTAAATAATCTAAAACTTCTCAAAATCTAAAGTTTCTAAGTTCTACTGACCATTATCTTTCCAGTATCCCCTGAATTAAAGTAAACAGACTCCAGGTTTATAATGCACAAAGCCTTCACAGAGGTGGGAGTAGGGTGGGGTGGGGAGAAGGGAACAGGGACCTGTTCATGCCACAGAGAACTAGGGTTCCGAATGGAGGGAAGAGAAGGAAGATAGTTTTTGTAAAAATGACAGTTTTATAAAAAGACAAGTAACATTCAGTCTAATAACACAGTTTCCTGTTCCTTTTTGATGGAAGCTAACACTGGGTGGTCAGGTTCCGTCACTTCGGGATCCCCACTGCCTAGGAGGATGGACCGCCCCTCGTCTAGGGCAAAGACGTCCGCATTCTGGTTTTGGCATGAGTGTTTCACGACCTCGTTGGGAGTGGAGAATGTTTTGTCACACAGGTTGCACTTGTAGGGTTTGTTGGTCTGCACCAACATGTTGTCCATCTGACTGCCCTCCTCAAATGTGCAGAGCTCCAGAGTCTGCTTGTCCACCATGGTGTACGTGTCGATGCTCTGGTTGAGGCATACGTGGCGGGCAGCCTGGTTGGCCCTGCAAAAGCTCTTGTCACAAGTGCTGCATTTGAAAGGCTTGCCAGTGTGTATGTACATGTGCTCCCGCCAGTGGCTTTTCTGGATGAATTTGCGCCCGCAGATCGTGCACTCATACTTCCGCCTCTTCACCTCTCTCTCCTGGTCCGCCTGCTCCAGGTTGTCAATGTCAGCAATGTCCGAGGGCGGTGGGGTCTCCGACTGCTGCTGCCCGTCGATGATGGGGGAATCCGAGATGTGCTGCAGCTCACTGTCACTGATCATCCCGGCTTCAGGCACTTCCATGGCGTCCTTGCCGAGGTCGGCGGCATTGCTGCAGAGAGACAGCGGCACGCGGCTCTCGCCCTGCGGGCCCGCTGTGAAGGGCACACCCGTGTGGATCTGCAGGTGCTCGCGCAGGCTGCTCCGCAGGGTGAAGCGCCGCCCGCACAGGTGGCAGGCATAGTACTTGGGGAAGCTCCCGTTCCTCTTCATGATGCTCGGCTTCACGTGAGCTATGGTGAGGGATGCAGGCTGCTCGTCCGAGGAAGAGGCTTCCAGATTGGTCTCCTCTCCGGGAGGTGGGGCAGGAACAGGAGTGGAGACGAGTTCCGGAGATAGCGAGGTCTGCAGGGGGTCTGAGGAAGGCATGTTTGTCCGGTTCACCTGGGCCAAGTTTGGGGGCAGCTGAGACAGCTGTGAGGCCTCGGGCACCTGCTCCGGGCCCAATCTGGAGGTCTGAGGTCTTGGGTCCCGCCCGAGCTTTTCAGGTGCAGGGGTGATCTTGGTGGCTTGTCTCAACTGGTGGTCTGCGATCTGAATGCCATACAGGGAGGAGGCCAACGGGAAGACTTGGTCAGGATGGGAAAAGGTGCCTTGGCTGGCAAGGCTGGCCTCCTGGATTAGTGGGTATGCGTGCAGGAACTTGATGCCCTGCTCGAGGCGGACGGGGTCAATGAGCTGTTGCGCCATCTTTCCAGTGTACATGAGGTGCAGGAGATAGCTGAAGATGTCCGGCTGGATGTCGGTGGGCTTCAGCCGGACACACTCGCTGAAAGAGAGGAGCGGAACAATCTGTGAGTACATGCCAAGCTTGTCTCGAGTGATTAACACAGGCCCTGGACAAGAGAAAACAGACCCAGGAAAACAAACGAACAAGAACGTTTGCCATATTGGACTATTGGAACTGCTGGCTTGGCAGAGCCTTGAGCCAGAAGGCCCCAGCCAGAGCCCAGCTGGAGATCTTTAAGGAAAGCCAGCGACCTGCCTGATTAGGAAGGGCTTCAGGTGTGAGATGAGGCGGAGAGAGGGCCTAACGTGAGCAAGTGCCTAAGGGCAGGACACCAAAACTGTCCTCAGACCTCGTCTGGGAGCCGAGTGCAGTGGCTCCCTCCAGCACGAAGACTGAAGCGCACAAGAGATAAGGACAGCGGGGAGGACCAGCGCCTCCCAGGTATGGCTGGACGGCGTTAAAGCTGATCTGGAAAAGACGGTCCTGTCCAACGCCATCACCAGCGCCAGCAGTGCTCCCGCTGAACTCCAGTGGTCCCTGTGCACTGGAGGGAGGGCACGCTCAGGGGCTCCATTCCTGGCTTGCTAGCCCGGAGTCGGGAGGTTGTGGACCCGAGACTTGAATCTAGGCTCGTCTAATTCCAGAGCCATCACATCAAGATCCTGTGCAGCAGACGGGGAGCCTGAGGTCCCCAAAGCAAAATGATTTATCTGAGGGAGTTGGTGGTACAGCCTGCTTTCTAACTTTCAGACTACTGCTTTTTTCACTTCAGAAGCATCATCCTGAGCAAGCAGTGAATAATGCACTGTCCCCAGACCATCACAGCAATGACAGAAATTCCAATGCATCCCTAGAGATCAATGAGATGTGTAGCTTACACAGCATGCAGTATGTATTATCACCCACTGAGTGAGTCTGTTCTATTGACGATGCATTTTTTGACAATGCTTCCTTGAATGTCTCTTGAATATCTTTAGAATTTAAAGTAACTTTGGGGGACCAAAAAGAGGTCCTCGTACTAGGCAAGTGCACATCTACCACTAAGTGACATCCCCGGCTCTTCTTTTTTTAATTTTGATGTGAGGTCTCACCAAGTTCCCCAGGCTGGCCTCACACTTTCTATCCTCCTCCCACTGTGGCCAACTTGTAATGACTGTAACTTCTTGGTTTTGTAATTCTTTTGGCTGTCTTAGTAATCATGTTCATTTTATTAACAAATAATTCTCACTATGCTGAAATATAAGCAGCCTCCCCTGTTGTTCTAAATTTAACATTGTATTCTATCAAAAAAACAAAAACAAAAACAAAGTAACTTTAACAGAGAGACTTGTGACAGGACAGAACTGAGCAATTCCTGGATAGCTGTCATTTGTATGTATTTTAAGACTGCATGAAACTCATCATGTGGCAAAAGTTTGGCTACAAAATATGGAAGCTAAAGAATAAAAAACAAAGCATTAAACACTAGAATTCCTTGGGCCAGGGATTTCCGCCTGCCTTGCAAGTGCAAGGACCAGAGTTCGATCTCCGGCACCAAAACAAAAAACAAAAAAACAAAAACTTTTGAGAGTTCAAAGGAGGGATAAATGTTTTTCTTTTCTTTTTAGAAAGATACACAGATCACGTGTGTCTTTACTTGGGTCTTTTATATTCCTTTGCTTATAGTCTTTGAAATAGGAATGCAAATACAGGTGGTCTTTCCTTTAAACACAGTTGTGTTCCAAACAATGTTAAGTGTAGAGGACAACGTATTTAGATGTTATAGGTAAATTCAACAATCAAAGCTCCAGGGGTAATATGTGGTGGGGATGACTTTAGTAATGTGAACAGTCGCCTCCCAGGTAAAGACTGGAGGGACCTTCCAGGATCAGGCTGAGGCCCAGCGAACTGGGAAGCCTTGGCCTTGAGAGCTCTACGTTACCCCTGGTCTAGTGATAGCAGGAAGGAAGGGATAGTTAGGGGGCTCCACAGCCACTGCTCCTCTCTCCAAAAGGAGAGGGGCAGAAATCCAAAGTGGGCTTTGCTTTTTTAGCATCCCAATAGAGCCCCTTTCCAGAAAAACTCGGTGTGTAATCTCTCCTGTCTACTGCTTGGGAACCGCACTTAACAGCAACTATGTGCAGTCCCTGATGGCAAAGACAGGAAGGAGCTGGGGAGCCTGAAGTCTATACTTCAGCCAGGCCTGGAGGGAGGCCTCTGGGGTCAGCAGGGAAGGAAGGCACAGTGCCCAGAGGAAAGCTGGGAATCTTGGGGTCGTAGCACGGCTGCAGGGACCACGGAGGTCTGAACATATCAATTTATTTATTTATTCGGTACCAGGGATCAAACTTGGGCCCTTGAGCTTGTGAGGCAGGCGAGGAACCACTAAACTAAATCCCTGGACCTTTATATTTTAGTTTTTTAATTAAAAACAAATTTAAGAAGCATATTCACATGGGCGCATGCGCGCACACACACGTGCACACACGTGCACACACACACACACACACACACACACACTCACACACTCGCGCTTAGAAGAGTAAGTGGAGGTCGGGTTAGGCTGGAATGTGACAGAGTTCCCTGTCTTGGGTGCTTTTCTCCCAGGCAATTTGCCTGCTCTCTCGTAACTCCTCAGCTTGCTGTGGGCTAGACTCTGGTCACTTCCCAGTCCTCTGCAGTATAGTCCCACTTCAGGTTTCATTTGCAGATGCTCAACATAACACCTTTAATGCAGGAACGAAATGAATAAAGGTATAGTGTAGCTATAAGCCCTTCTGTGTAAACTTTCACAGTTATTTCCATGTTCAGTTTTTCCTTCTAAGGACTATTAGGCAATGCTGACACTATTAGAAGGTTGACTGAGCAAGGCCCGCCCTTTAGGAGTTTTGTTGAGAGCTCAAAGCCTGCAGACACAACAGGGACATCTAGTGGCAACTAACAGAAATGAAACACTGGAAGGCAAACCCAGGAGGAGTCCCTGTGTTCTCACTCTCTGTGTGGCCAGGTGGTGGTCACTGAGCTTCTCACAGGAGTTGCTGGTTAAAAGCGGCCCTTGCTCTCACCCTGTGCGCACCTCAGTGAGCACAGAACCTGCACAAGGCTGGGCACAAGGAGGCCACCCAAATGCACATGTCACCTCTACTGCTTAAACTTGGGGCTTCCATGACACCCAGGTCACATTCTCCTGTTAGGCATGTATTCAATGCCTTGTGTTTACATAAGTTTTTTTTTGCATCTAATTAAAACCAATTATACTGTCTTATTTCTCAAAATGAAAATATTTTTGGGGATCATTTAGTTCATTATACTGAGACTACTAAATACAAAGCCCTCATCAGCCACAAAGTCTCTACCACAATGAAGTTAAAGGGTGCTTTTTCGTGTGGGGTGCTGGGGATGGAACCCAGGGCCTCATGCACACTGCGGTGTGCTGTCACTGAACTACACCCTTGTTGTAAAGAGTGCACTCGCCATTACGCCTGCCATCCTGTTATTGGCCCTGCTGCTCCTTCAGATGTTTGTCAAGTGGTGATCTATAATGTGTCCACATCTCAGCTACTCTGTGGTGTCCACCCAAGATTTGTAAATCGCAGGCTCTGTCCTCAAGAAACTTACAAATGAAATGCTATCATCCACGAGAGAGGACAAGGTTGCTTTTGAATTTTTGTTCACTTGACTAAGGAGGAGGCACGGAAGGGGCGTGTGTTAGCTGAAACTCGGGAAGCAGAAGACTAGCACCATGTGCTCAGGTGAGTGAGCTTCGAAAGCAGGTTGGGTCACGGTGCAGATAGGTGGAGTGTCCCAGTGGGGCCCTGAATGACAGAACAAGGAGCCTGAATACAGTATTTTGATAGGTAAGGGACATCCTGATCAAAGGTGAGCTAGTAACTTTGACTGAATGCACACCACAATGCAGTGTTTAAGAATGTAATCTCACAGTGAAGTGGAAAACGAATAATTGGAAAACGGAAGTGACCAAGGGAAGATAAAGAGAAATGTGAAAGGTGCTCTGCAGTAAGGTGATCTGCAATCTGGGGATTGGTAAAATATTTGAGAGCATGGATTACTTGAGGATAAGAAAATAGGTGAGTATGGGGGGTCCTTTCAAGGAAGAGGCTTGATTCAGTTTTAGCCATGCCCAGCGGGTTAAGAGGGGCATATTCAGCAATAGATGAACAGTGGGTGTCCTGGGGCTCTGGAGACAGACGGAGTGAGTGGGCAAGGTTCAAAGGCAAAGACAAGACCTTGAGAGAAGACAGCAGAGTGCAGAGAACCCACAACCAAAGCTCAGGTGGCCCAGTGCCTGGGGCAGAAGTTCTACAAATGCAGGTGACAAGCACTTCAGAAGGAAGCAAACAGCAGCAGATACTGCGGACAGGATGAGAGGGAGGGAGAGACAGTGTTTCTGGGGAAGGAGTGACCTTTGCAACACAATTCCGACGGAGTGCAGGGAGGAAAGCACAGCACAGAGGGACAGGGAGAGTGCGGATGGAGGGAAGTGCACCCAGGGCACAAGTGACCCTTTCAGGAACTTGCAGAGCAAACCAGAGAACAGTGCTTGAACGCCAGGAAACATGACAGTCAGGGGAGGGAGGCTCCCTTCCCCTCAGACTGGGGGGCTGGAGTAGGAGTGGGGGAGGGGGAAGAATACAGAATAGAACTTGAGAGCAACGAAGGAAAATGGAGGATTATTTTCCTTGGATACCGAGAGGTTCTTTTCTTTAAGATACTTAAGAGATGGAAAGAAAGAAAGTGGAGGAAAGATACAGAAGGTTTTAAGAGAGAAAAGAGGAGCTCTTGGAGAATCTGTGCCCTCAAACTTCTTATTGGAGTAGAAGACAAGAACTGAAAGTCGGGGATATCTGGGGACCAGGGCCACAGGAGCTAGAGAAAAGCTTCTGGCAGAAGGGGCTGTGAAGCCTGTGGCTGGCTTTGTATCAGACAGGCCTGGAGACGCTCAGCAGGCTGTGTGCAGGGGCAGGGCAAGGCTGCTGGAGTGGCAGGAGTGTGACTGTCAGGTGCTATGGAATCAAGTGACCAAGAGGGGCAGGGCAGGCCGTCACAAGGGAACTGTCACCCAGGAGCCTAGGTTGAGGCTGAGACCCAGGGCCTGGATGAAGGGAAGAGGGGCCCCGAGGTCACTGGTTTATCACCAACCACATTAGTTACCTGGTCTGATGGACAAACAACATCTTAAAGTAATTGGAGAATGAGGCAAGAACAGATTTGTGTGCCTTGAAGTACACATCGCCGATGGCAACCGTGCAGTCACACAGGAACCCAAACTCGCGCTGTGCGTTTAACTGCTGCAGTAGAATAAGTCCATGGTTGGTCAAATCCATTTTTTAAAAAATCTGCAAAGTAAACAATTTTATTTTTAAGAAAGTTGGTTCATAAATAAGAATGTGTCCTTTATAGTCACAAATAGTAATGATCATAGCTAATGTGGCATCGCAGCTCACGTTCTAGGCACTGTTAACAAGGCATATAAATGTACTTGGTCTGCTGTTGGGAGTGATGCCACGGGGTAACTTAGGGGGCTCTGTGACGTGCCACACTTACACGGATGGTGCATGGAGAAGCCAGGCTGTTTACCTTCAAGGATGAACTTGGCACAGCAAACAGTCCTAGATCAGTCTTTTCAAGATCCCCAGTGCAAAGTCTAATGACCCATCAGAATTTGTCCAATTTTCTGTAGAGATAGATCAATTATAGTGCCAAGCAGAGTCACAGCAAAGCAAGGCAAGGGTGAAAACCTTAATTAAATTGGGGAGATTTCCTCCAGGGATGCAAGGGCAGACTAGCTCCCTCTCCACCTCTTAATACCAAACCAGTGAGGTAGCAGATTTGGCCTCTGCCTCCCTTTTGTGGTGGAAGAAATGGTCTTTGAGAGAGAGTAAGTGATTTGCCTCCAGCCTTCCACCTGGAAGGTGGGGAAGACAAAATTTAAATCTGAATGTTCCAATTCCAAATCCTCTCCTTTACTTATACCTCCCCAAACCCTCCCAGCCTGAATCCATTTACAGCGTGGAAGCTGGCTGATTCTGCCCAGTTCATCAAATCCCTAAAACGTTCCTTTCCCACTAACAGCACTTATAAAAATCTAAATAAATGGACAGACATCCTATGTTATGGACATGAAAATTCAATGTAGGGATGGGGATTTAGCTCAGTGGTTCCACCGCCTGCCTCACAAGCTCAAGGTCCTGAGTTAGATCCCTGCTACCAAAAGAGAAAGAAAGAAAAAAATTCAATGTAGTAAAGATATCAATCTTCCCCAATTCGATATGACATAGTTCCTATCAAAATTCCAGTAAGATTTTTTTGTATATACAGACAAGATCATTCTAAAATGTTTCTTTTTGTTGTTGTTTTTTGTTTTTGTACCAGGGATCAAACTCAGGAAGGACCTTATGCTTGTGAGGCAGGAGATGGAACTACTGAGTTAAATCCCTGGCCCATATTCTAAAATGTATAAAGGCCAAGGAATTAGGATAGTTAAAACAGTTTTTAGAAAACAATAAGTGGGAAAAATTGGACCATCCAATTACAAGATGTATTATCCTGGCACAGAATTCCAATCTGTGGTATCAGTGGATGGACGGGTATGCAAATCAGTGCAACAGAAAAGAGAACCCAGAAGTAGATCCACATAAACAAACATGATTAATCACAAATGCAGTCCTGTAGAGGAAGCATAACCTTCTCAAGAGACAGTGCTGGATCAAGTGGACTGCACCCTAGGCAGGGAAGAGAATGGGGGGAGGGGAAGGGAAGAGAGGAAAACAAATTCATCTGAATCTCATAATATATATATGCAAAAATGTATCATGGTCCTAAATAGAAAACACAAAACTATAAAGCATTTGGCTGGATGTAGTGGGCATGTCAACAATCCCAGCACTTGGGAGGACAGGAAGATAATACCAGCTTGAGGCTAGCCTGGGCTACACAGTGAGTGCAAGGCCAGCCTGGACTATGTAACAAGACCAGGTCTCAAAACAAAACCAAACAAAAACCCAAAAAGCTAAAAAATTTTGGAAAAGAAAAAATCTTCAGGACATAAATCTAGGCAGAGTTTCTACACTTGTAATCAAAAGTAGACTCCACAAAACGAGAAAGTGATAACCTGTACTTTATCACAAGTAAAAACTTTACTCTGTGAAAGATTCTGGATGAAAACCTAAAGACTATAAGTATCTTGAAACCCTTGCAAAGTACTCTTCCAACAAAGGGCTAGTATCTATATATAAAGTATAGTAGCAATATATTAAAGAAAGCTCAAAACTCAACAGTAAAAATCCAACAAATTAGAACATGTGCAATAGACTTGAAGAGACATTTTACCAGAAAGGATAAATGCTCAATCATTAGGCACTAGGGAAAACCCTAATTAAAAACACATTATTACTCCATACCTACCCTAGGGCTAATGGAAACTCCTGCCATGACACCAAATGCAGCCGAGAATGTGAGATCTTCTAGGTCACTCATTTACTGCTCATGGGAATGTAAAATGGCACAGACATTCAGGAAAACAGGTTTCTTAAAAAGCAAAACACAATTCCCATATGACCCACTAACTGTACTACTGGAAATTTACTCCAGAGAAGCAAAAACTTCAGTTCACACAAAAACCTGTGCACTAATGTCTACAGCAGCTTTATTCCCAATAGTCGGAAGCTAGCCAGGCCCCAGGTGTCCGGTTGGAAGCTGGAACACACTGCAGTTCTCCTATGTGGAACGCTCCTCTGCCACACCAAGGAGTGAACTACTCCTCTGTACAACAAGTTGGGTGAGTTATGCTCAGTGAAAAAGGATAATCCCAAAGGTCTAGTGTGATTCTTTTGATACAGTATTTTTAGAAACAATAAAGAACAGACTTGAAATGGTGGGTTAAGAGGTTATATAGAAAGGTTCCCCAGCTGGACTGTGTCAATGTGGATGCCCTTGCTGTGTTACTATACAGTCCTGCAGTTTTGTTTTTGACTTTTTAAGACAGGGTCTCACTACGTAGTTCAGGCTGGCCCTGAACTTGCGCTGATCCTCCTGCCTCAGCCTTCTGAGGCTGGGATTACAGGTGTACACCACCAAGCCCAGCCAGTACTACACCTTTGTAAGATGCTTCCATTGGGGACGTGAGGTAAGCAGGATACAAGTTTTAGAGAGACTGTAAAGGATGAGCGTTAGGGTTAAGAAGGCGACACACAGAAAGGCATAGCGTTCGTGACGAAAGACAGACTGTTCAGGTTGCAAAGTAACTGAGATTACAGAGACACCTCTCTAACCTGGCCGCCATAGGAGGCCTCTTAGAAGCCTGTCTTCAAGGGTGATCTCTGTCGTCAGAATGTGTTCTTTCCCATTATATCAACCGGTATTTCTCTACCACAAGATCTAACAACTGCGGAGGCCCAGCCAGCTGAGATGCACTGCCATAGGCTGATTGTGCTCAGGCTTAGCTGCCTGCGCAGCCTTGAGGCAGCTCCCGGTTCACACCAGTAGGTGTGGTTTCCACAACAGCACCATGCGCAAGCTACTGGAGATTTATAAGCATATATACCTCCGGTGAAAGAGTCAGACACTGTGGACACACCAAGTGTTACAGCTCTCTATCGTCCCTTCTCCTGCACGTTTCCCCAGCACTGGCTAATACTGGGCATTACTACTTATTTTTTGATGATACTGGGATTGAATGCGGGGCATTTACAATGAGCTACATTTCCAGAAGATTTATATATTTATTATCTTGAGACAGGGTCTCAATAAATTGCTAAATTGCTCATAATATGTAATTTTCCTGCCTCAGCTTCCCTGAGTGGTAGGATTACAGGTGTGCACTACCACACTTGTGTCTTACTACTTGTAGGAAAAGAATCTTTGCTAACATCACCGTTTTAGTTTCTAAGAATTTAATGATAATATGAAGTGCATTTTATTTTGACTTTTTCTATTTTCTTTAATACCTTCTTCACGAATGCTGCCCATTTTTCTCCTACTGATCTATAAAACATGTACAAAATTCACTCTTTCATATATGTTGCTAATATTTTTCTTTCTTCTTCCCTTTTTTTTTTTGTTGTTGCTTTGTTTTCTTGAGACAGGGTCTCACTATGAAGTCGACACTGACCTGGAACTCACTACGTAGCCCAGGCTGGTCTTGAACTCACAGCGTTCCTCCTGCCTCCGCCTTCCAAGTGCTGGGGTTACACGTGTGAGCCACCATGACTGGCTTCCCCCACTTTTTTTTGGAGTGCTGAGAAATGAATCCAGTTTCTGCATTGAGAACCCCTTTTTTTATTTTGAGATAAGGTCTCACCAAGTTGCTAAGCTGCCCAGGAGGGATTGAACTTGCAATGCTACCTCAGCTTCCTGGGGTGCTGGGATTATGGGTGTGTGACACCATGCCTGGTTTTGTTTTCATTTTATTTATGGAATTTTTATTTATCTTTTGGTGCTTGGCCTTAAACATGCTAAGCATGAGTTCCACCACTGACCTAAAATGGTAGGTCAAATATATATATATTGGGGGGCGGGTAGCAGGGATTGAACTACCTTGGGCTTGCCAGGCAGGCAGCGGAACCACTGAGCTAAATCCCCAGCCCTGTATTTTTTTTTTCCCCCAGAGAGGGTCTCACTATGTACTTCAGTCTGGCCTTGAAAGTAATTTTGTTTTCATGTCATCAAATGTGTCAATATTTTGTAGGAGGATTCGGTTTTCACATTAGTGGTTATGTATAATATGATCTCCTTCAACATAGCAAAATGTATGGCTTTCTTTCCATAAGCAGCTTAACAAATGTACTACCAAAGGCAGACTGTAAAAATGAAGCCGTGATAAAATGCTGAATGTTTTTTTTTGAGACAGTGTCTTGCTAAATTGTCCAGGATGGGCTTGAATTTGTGATCCTTCTGTCTGAGTCTCCCAGGAGTGCATCACCATGCCTGGCTGGAATCAATCTCAGTAATCTCAATCTCTCTTTGTCTCTGTCTCTCCGTTTCTCTCTCAGGTCAGGAGACACACACTGTTAGGGAATTGATCATGTTAAAGTATGCTGTGACGCCACCTCACAGGCTGCATTCTCCTGGTACATCTTGGCTCCTAAAATGACCTCTCGCCCTTATCTCTGGTTTCCCTTCCCCCCAAGGTCACAGTGGTCCAGGAAAGTTGAAACCTGTGTCTGCACGACTGGGCCCATAAAAGCAATCTGGCCTGTGATAGGTTAAAAGTAGCTCACTCCTCATAAATAAGCAATAGCCCACCCCCAAACTGATAAAAGGACCTTCCTTTCTTTGCTCTTCTCTCCTGCTTCTGCTTCTTCTTCCTCCTCTCTCTCTCTCTCTCTCTCTACCTTCCTACCTCCTGCTCGCCTCCCTACAATAAAGATCTCCTGCTGGACTCTTGGTGCGTGAGTGGCCTAATTGGGAAGGGGCGCCCGAAAGGGCACGCAAACCCCCCTTTCACACACAGTAAGAATTCAAATACAGAAGGAAGAATGCACGTGCAGTACTCTGAGAGAAATGAAAAGACAAATAGAAAATCAGCACAAGTTGCACAAATTCACATGGGGCAGGGCCAAACTGGGCCCAAAAGCAATCTGGCCTGTGATAGGTTAAAAGTAGCTCACTCCTCATAAATAAGCAATAGCCCACCCCCAAACTGATAAAAGGACCTTCCTTTCTTTGCTCTTCTCTCCTGCTTCTGCTTCTTCTTCCTCCTCTCTCTCTCTCTCTCTCTCTACCTTCCTACCTCCTGCTCGCCTCCCTACAATAAAGATCTCCTGCTGGACTCTTGGTGCGTGAGTGGCCTAATTGGGAAGGGGCGCCCGAAAGGGCACGCAAACCCCCCTTTCACACACAGTAAGAATTCAAATACAGAAGGAAGAATGCACGTGCAGTACTCTGAGAGAAATGAAAAGACAAATAGAAAATCAGCACAAGTTGCACAAATTCACATGGGGCAGGGCCAGAGATTTAGCTCACTGGTGCAAGCACAAAATCCTGAGTTTGATCCCCGGTACAGGTAAAAAAAAAAAGCTCAGGGAAAAACCAGAAACAACCCTGTGGTCTGAGATATGCAACCTGGCCTGGGTAAAAGCCGGACAAGGTGGAGAAGGGTAACAGGAGTGCATCCAGCACTCCCCCATCAGCCCCAGCGCAGAGAAGTGCCCTATTCTACCCCTCTCTCCT